TTGAACTGGGAATGCTAGTTGAACTGGGAATGCTAGTTGCCAGCGCTGTCAAAACTTTTCAAGCTATCATAGCGCTGTAAAATAGCGTTCTCACCCCCTTCAAAACCCCGCTGCGGTAACCTTGCAGGTGCTTCGCCAACCGTGCCACCACACCGCGTTCAGCCTCTTCAACGCCCGTTGGCGTCATACCCCTATTTGTAGTCTAGATCTTCGCTCTCGGTAAGGGTGATATTCGTTGCATTGAGTCATATTTTCGCATTCTTGTATGTACGGTCATCCAGAGTTCTCGCGGCTGCAGGGTCTTGATGATCGTCGTTTTGCCGATCAGGGCATGGCATCATAGGAGGCTTTGTATCCTTGCATAAGGTATCTCCATTTACAATGCCAGTGGGTTTGCACATAGAATGGTAGAGTGGGAGATGCCCCTCACCAAACCTTTTTCCATTCCTGTCAAAGGGGTGTTTGTTGATATGACACCAACTTACCATACGATTTGCCACACGTCATTGGTCAACTCAGTGAGCTTGGTGGCTCGAGAAGACGCAAGGCAGTTGTGATCTTGCATTACGAACTCTATTGTTGTCGTATTCCATGAGAGATGCATGACTGGGGAGACTACAACCACAACACTGCTTAGCTTACAATCCCGAGGATAGTGTTCATATTAGCGCTGTGAGTCAGTTCTCAGAGTGCAAAGGAGCTTCTAATTGTTGCTACCAGCTGTAGCCCCTTCAGCTACCGAGTAGTCGACTCCTCTTTCTGTTGTTGTAGAGAAAGTACAGTTACGTTAGTTCACCAGGCCGGGCACTCAGAGTCCATAAAGGGTTGGGTGTTTCCTCTGCTGCTTGGGTGTCTTCCCTCGTGCTGGACTTGGCCAACTGGAGTTTCTCGCGCATGCATAGTCCTTCTGGGCACTGGCTTTGTCTCCCAAGCCCGATCACTCCCCTGGAAATTGTTGGCTGTCGCCAGCATCCTCGAGGGAGTGACGGGAACTGGATTGTGGAGGACGTTGGTCGTGAAGCTGGTGGAAGCTGCCCGTCGTTCAGGCCTCATCCACACTGCCATACGGAAGCAGAAAGGTTTGGGGAAACAGAATAGCTCCATCGAGAACTTGAATGAATGTATTGGGTCTCCATCATCAGCCGGCGTTGGAGTCCTGCACTGATGTGCTGGAGCAATGCTCGGTGGCATTTTAAGGAGTAAGAGCCAACAACAGCCTCACTTAGCGTGACTCCCGAGGTTGACTTCATGTTGAGGAAACCCGGTCCTTGGGTTACAGATCCTGTCTCTCGGAAGCGGGGGGTGAACATGCCCGCAAGAGCCGGCTATTTGGCCTGGACAGCCGCAACGCAGGCTGCATCTCCCGGCGAGCAGCACGACCTTGATGATCCAATGATAATTCACGCTGATTGGGGCGCATGGTTATTTGTTTCTTGGCCCCGTTCATCTGTTGCCTCACCCCGCGCTGGCCATGGGAGATTCAGCTATCGCGTCTACATTCCGAGATCCACTACAGGACAACCTTGCTTAGTGCCAAGCTGACCCAAGTGACGGGAACGAGTGAGATTTATAGCGCAGGACCGATGTTCGAACATCGTTCAGGAAGGTGTACCACGGTTGTCGAAAACTCGCTTGGACATGGACAACTTGGCGCGGCCCGGCTCGTCGATATACGATGATCATGCCTGACGAGGGCCCAGAAGCTCGCCAAACGGCCACGTCTGCCTGTGCAGCGTCGAGAAGGACTGACCATCGCGAAGCTAGCCCCATAGAAGCTGTTCAAGATGATGCCCCTTTCACTCCGGGCCCTCGCGCTCCTGGGGCTCGCAGGGGCCACAGCAGCTGTGACCTTGTCGGTCGCCAATACAGGCGGCAATGCCACGTCTCCGTACATGTATGGTATCATGTTCGAGGACATTAACCAGAGCGGCGACGGTGGCCTGTAAGTCTTGTTCTAACCCCAGTGACCTCTTCACGAGCTCACCCTTCCAGGTACGCCGAGCTGATCCGGAACCGGGCCTTCCAAAACGGCACGCTTGACTCCTGGAGCGCGGTAGGCGGTGCTACTTTGACGCTCGACACCTCGACGCCCTTGTCGCAGGCCCTGCCTCGCTCAGTCAAGGTGACAGGCGGGAAAGGCACCGTGGGCCTGAAGAACCCCGGCTACTCGGGCATCGACGTCAAACAGACCAACAAGTACAGCGGCAGCTTCTACTCGTACGGCGCATACGGCGGGAGCTTCACTGTCTCCCTGGTGTCGAATATCACCAACGAGACGCTGGCCACAACCAGTATCAGGTCCAATCGGTTGCTCATGCCTGGACGCAGCACAAGTATGAGCTCCGGCCGATCAAGAGCGCAGCAAACAGCAACAACAGCTTCGTGCTAGAGTTCCACTCCGGGAAGAAGACCGAGTTCAAGTTCAACCTGATCAGCCTGTTCCCTCCGACGTTGATACGGGAAAGGAGCCGTATGCTGGGAAAAGAGGGCAAATGCCATGTATTCGGGGAAAAGTCAGGATGTCGTCCTCTGGTAGTTGCAAGCAGCAACTGCAGTGGTGGGAGATATCCCACGATCCAGAGTGGGGCAGCGTTATCTTATCTACATACAAACAACCACCCCACCAATGGTGGGGTATAACACCTAGCTCTAACCCTGCGCGATACCTTCCGGTATCAGACGTACAAGAACAGGTGAGCCAGGCACACTTCAGCTTCCCGTGATGTCCGTCTTCACGTTAATGTTACTAACATAACGGACCCTATGCATCTAGGCCCAACGGTATGCGGCGGGACTTAATGGAGAAGCTGGCGGATCTGAAGCCCAGTTTTCTCCGAATTCCCGGCGGTAACAACATGTAAGCCATCCGCAGACAGCATGCAAGAAAGAACAGTTACTTACATCGAGAGTAAATAGCGAGGGTGACTTTTTCCCCAACGTTTGGAACTGGACTGCTACCGTCGGTCCCCTAACTGACCGGCGCGGCCGTTTGGGCACTTGGACATACTACAACACGGACGGTCTGGGGCTGGTCGAATACATGCACTGGGCAGAGGACCACCTCTGGGGTGGCCTGGACTCGTACAAGAGCTACCGACTGCGCCTGTTCTACGATGTCATCAAGGCCAAGTACCCCGACATCTTCATCTTCTCTTCCACAGCCGAGTACATGTACAAGGAGTCGGGCCGTGACTACCACTTGTACACGCGTCCGGACTACTTTGTCTCCCAGTTCGACCAGTTTGATAGGTGGAGTGCCGGAATGCCCATCATCATCGGAGAGTGAGTGTGACCCCTCCCCCGTCTCAAGTCTGTCGTGCCCCGTGCCTGCGAGCTAACGGCTGCATTCTTATTTCTAGGTACGGTACTATCCAGAACAACACGTTGACAGGCAAGGTTGAGGACGCCGACTGGAACGCAACCAAGAACCAGTGGTCCAACTGGATTGGCTCCGTCGCCGAAGCCGTCTACCTTCTGGGTGCCGAGCGCAACGGCGATCGCATCTGGGGCACCACCTTTGCGCCGCTCTTCCAAAATCTGAACAGCTACCAGTGGGCTGTAAGTACTGATCCTTACCCAAGCTAAGTAACACAGTTCTGACACAAACCCTCAGTCCGACCTGATCGCCTTCACGGCGGACCCGGCCGACACGACCCCCAGCGTCTCGTACCCGATCATCAAGCCCGGCGCCAAGGCAAAACTCACCGTCCTGTCGGCCGACAGCCCCTGGGCACACAACACGCCACAGAACAAGGACGTCGTCATCACCACCGTCAATAACGAAGTTATACCTTGACACATGTGCAAGTGCCAAACTCCTCACTACCTACCCACTGGTATCATTATGAAACCGCATATTCAGGGCCCTTCGCCGAGAGAACTACCGTCCCCCCACTACGTGTATCATATGATAATATATCTTGACGGATGTACTCCCAATCCAATTCAATAAACAACCCTCTCCTCATGCAACGGACTCTCCTCAAAGTCACAGACCACCCTCCCCAGCCCGCCACCACCCATCCTTAATCCCCCCACCTTCCTCCTCCTTTCCTTCTTCCCGGCCCCAGAATTCGGATGAACCAACCAACACGCCCTATCGAACGCCGCCACCAACCCCTTGGAATGCGCCACCTCCTGCCTGCTGACCCTCGCCTCGTCACGGGGGATCCACAGTTTCGGCGCCGGCACCCACATCTCGGGCGGCCAGTAGGCTTGCTTGGCATAGTTCGCCGGCAGTTCCACGTTGCCCGGTTCCGGGTTGACGTGGGGTTGCAGGGCACGAAAGTCTTGGTAGATTTCCGGATGGAGGAATGTTAACAGCGGGTTGGGCGGTCGGGAGGGGTCGGGGGTCAAGAAGTTCTTGATGCGGGTTAGGATGAGGGTCAGGTCGGATTCCGGTTGAGGTTGCGGACTTAGGTTAGGTGGTGGCGGGGGCTTTGGTTTGAAGATGGATTTGAAGAGTGATTTGGCCCACTCGGTGATCTGGTATTTCAGACTGCTGCTGCCTTCGATGCCGCGCAGTTGGATGTCGGTGTCGAGGTCGTGGTTGGGGTGGTCGTTGGGAAGTTCATTGTCGTCGTTGTCGTCGTTATCGGAGACATTGTAGTAATCTGCAGCCAGGCCGCCAGGGGTTTCGGTTGCGGGTTGGGGTGTATCGTTGCCTGGTCTCTCGTCCTCCGCGATAGGACCGTGAACTAAGTCCTTTTCTAGGGCCAGCGTTCGGGGGAGGTTGTAGAGCAGCGGCGTGACTGCGTCGTTGAGCGATATGTGCACCAGCATGGTGAAGATGAGGAAGATGACCATGAGCATCAGCTGTGGAAATGCTAACTTGAGGGCAAAGAGACCGATGAGGCAGATCTCGGCAATGTACAGCCCTGTCATGAGCTGCATCAGGGCGCGCGGATAGAAGAGCCCCTTGGTGTCCAGGCCCGAGTCATACACGTAGATCAACCCGTAGCGGTAGATGTAGCTGATGAAGAACATTCCAAGTCCGGCAAAGATGAGTATCAAGGGCGCAATGCAAGAGTAGCTGATGGCTGGACTCGGTTAGTTCGCCGCTCACTGGGTTACCTGCAGAATAGACTAACCGATCACCCCCATGTTGGTGAACCGGGGGTATTCGCTCCCCCAGTGAATTCTGCTCAGCTTACGCCAACGGTAAAAGCGTCTTCGTGGGTTGGCGATGCTCTTCGAGATGATTTCATGCCGGATGAGGTCGCCAAAGTTGGCGAGCCGCGCGGCGCCGGCGGCAAGACACTGGATGAGGATGTATGACAGGTAGAAGTTGGATGCCTTGGGCAGATTCTGGGAGAGCATGTCCGTGATCATCAGCGGATTCTTTATGGCGTCCATGACGGCGGCCGAGGCGGCTGATGTAATCGTCGTGACGAGGAAAACTTGCACAACCTGGAAGAAGAAGTACGCTTGTTGGACATACAGCTCGACCAACGCGTGTGAAGGGACGCCAGCAACCCTGGCGCAGCACCTGAGCATCCACGGCACCGCGGCCATCAACCACGACAGGACGAGGGCCGGCAGCAAGCCTTTGATGACGCCCAAGATGGGCCCAGGAAGCAAGAGAATCCAGCTCAGGAAGGGGACCATCTCGCTCAGCGACTCAATGTTGGTTACCATGCCGAGGAAAGCAGACGGGATGGACCAGAAGATGATGGCCGCGGCGATGACGCCCATCATGAAGAAGCGGCGCATGATCGCCTCCCACCAGCGGATACGCAGCGCACTCCATATGATCTCGTCGGGCTGGAGACCGATATGGCGAGGTGACATGTGCAGGGGTTGATGGTGTGCCAGGATCTGGAATGCCGCCTGTGCGCTGGCCTGCGAGTCGAATTCAATAAAAGCCGCGCTGAGAGACGAGCCGTCTCCACCGCGATACTTCCGCCGGAGCTTCCAGATCTCTTGGTTTAGCACCTTCAGCCTTGCCCTCGTCCATCTGATTGTGTCAACTCGGCGGCCAAAGTTTGTGAGCGGGCGGTGGTAGGGCCGTGCCTGGACTGGAATCCACATGGCCGCCACCGAGCCTCGAACATCCGGCAGGGAGGGATCGAGGCCGTACGGGTGCGTGTATTCCGGATCTGCTGGCTTGTCCGGCGCCGGACTATCCAGGACGGACAGCTGGCGCACGGCGAACTGGATGGTGTTGTCAATGACCTGACCTTTTTCTGCATCGTTCTGCAACGGGTCGTCGGGCGTGGAGGTCCCGGCCTGGTTGAGGTGGGTATTCAAAGTGGAAGATGCCGGATGCTTTCTGAGATGCTTTTGGCGTGCGGCGTTTGCTAGTCTGATCAGTCTGACCTCAGCTTGTTGAAGGCGGTCTGCAATCTCCTCGCGGTCCTCGACCAGGGCTCGCAGGGCGCTCGTGTCCTTGACGATCCAGATGTTCTTTGCCGAGTCACCGAACAGTTTCCGCAGCTTTGCCTCGACGAGGTACGATTTTGGAATGCACGTGAATAAGACGGTCCTTGAGGAGAGCCGTTTGGAGTAGTTTGGTGAAAGCAAGTAGGCCTGGCGCAGGTTGACATAGTAGATGGATTCCCGGCAAATCATGAACAGAATGAAGCCTGTGACGAAGTTAGTGCGAGTGATCTCTATCGAGACAGCGGGTGAGCAAACGGACCAAAGAAACACCATGCCACAGCGACATGGGCGTAGAGCTTGTTGACTAGCTTGATGTTTCCTATGGTTAGAGTGTCGAGGGCCTGCATTCCGTTGTTGCCGGTCCCGTTGACGGGCAGCAGGATGGGCCAGGCGATGCAGGCGCCGGCAAGGCAGATGATAGACAGGACCCTGAGGAAGCGGAGAAAGAAGAAGCCGTCGAGCGAGCAGTTGTTGAGGATGTAGTCATCCGTGATGGTGAAGAAGGGCTTTATCCAGTCGAACCAGCCGCCAGGCAACTCCGGGCTCGAATGTCTGCAGGTTACTGATCAGACAAGCTGCCGCACAGCGCACAGCTAAATACCAAGTAGAACTCACTCAGGGTTCCGGAGGGACGGTATCGTCCTGGGAGCGTAGACACGGCGACATTTCCGGCGGAACCACAGAAAAATGAGGAAGCAGATGGCCGAGTAGATGAGGACCGGGTAGAAAGTGCTGCCCAACGATTGCAGCGATGCCGCTTCATCTTCCTTTGGTTTCGGGTTGAAGTGGACGAGGGTGCCGCCCCCGTCGCTGTCGTTCCGTCCGGATCCGACCCTTGGGTCATCGCTCTCGTTCTGTCGGGCCTACAGGTCAGCAGCGGCGCAATCACTTAAAGTTCGGTCCTTTTGGACAAACCTACGATGCCGAGCACCCGCTTCTCGAGACGGGGGAGCTGGGCGAGCCAATCCATGGCGGCGTCTCGCGGATCAATCACGACGGCGAGACCAGCTTCTGACTGCAGAGTAGCTGTACCATGGTGCAGTGTGCAGTCGCAGTTGTCGGCCGTTAAGCTAGCGGTAGCGTCCCGAGCTTCGAGAAGGCGCAAGACGGCAGCAGAGAAGACTCGGTGCGGATCGCAGCAGAAAAGGTCCACCAAGATCCCTGGGCTCAGTCAGCTCTTGGCGAGCGTCCGGACTGGGGTTGATGCATGTCTCATTTTTCTCAGCGCCGCCACAACCGCCAATCAGTGTCGGATGGGGCAAGCCTTCGATGATTAGCGCGGCTAAGGTTGTATGCCACATTCTGGGGCAGAACGCTCGCCATATCTACGATCGCTCGGCGATAACGTTTGCGCACGGGGTGGCTGAGGGAGGTGGAAGTTGAAGTGAGCGCCCTGAACGCTGCATGGAGGCGACATGACTAGGCAATCGACGAAGTTTGTCGCCGGAACGCTTTGTGGAATCAGAAGTGAGACAAGTTGAGCTGCACAATGATCTGTGCTGGAACTGAGCGATCGACCGGCACAGGTCGGAATCCTCTGCAAAATGCGCCATCGTGGCTGTTGCAGACCAATGATCAGATTGAAGAGGCTCATTGCCGTACTGGCGGTTTCAATGTGTGATTCGCGACGAGAATGCCTAGCAACACGCTTCCGCTTGGAAATTGCAGGGTAGGGTTGTCGAACGCCGTTTATCGACGCAAGAGAGCAACCAAGAAACTTTGATTCTACTACGATACGGTTGGCAAGAACAGAATGAAGTTGATTTTTTAGATGTCGTGGCCGACACCGAAGCGTGAGGCAAGGTTGGTGAGCTTGTTGGGCTCAATATCCCACGGGCCTTTCCCTGTAACTACAAAGTCCGGACATAACGTAATCAATCACCAGGTGAATATCAAATCAATTCCTGCCCGAGGCGTTGAGATACCCGTACCTTCCTGGTGCCTCTTTCCCTTCCCGAGCTTTTATCACAACTGCACTACTAGCCCTAATCGAATTCCTTCCAATCTTGAGTCCTTTAAGGTTTGCAAAACTTCTGTGTGTTCCAGGTTGACAAAAAATCGATCATTAGTCATGCGAGCGACGTCCAACAACGCCCCCGAGAGCGGCATTCACCACTCCGGCTTCTGTTGCCAGAAGAGGCGGGGCGTGTCATGGCGCAGCTGTCAACCACAGAGAGGGCCCGCATTTACCATGCCTTCTACCGTGACCAACTGCTGAACTCCTTCTTCATGTTCCCCCGACCCAGGAGTTTGGCGAGGAAACGGCGAGACGGCTCAAGGTCTTGTGTCTCTGGGCCACCTGGATGTCGTGGGAGATACGGGAGATACTGACACTGCACTCTTACTTTCGTCACCAGCATAAGTTGATCCTCGAGGAAGTCAATCGGACTTCCTTCATCAGCTCGAGGCTACTGCGTCTTCATTCAATGGTGCGGAAGATCATCAGGGGATTCGCCCGTCCATACTGCGACAGCAATTCGAGAAATGCATCTGCATCAACTCGAGATGCGGCAACGATCGCCAAGTCAACCTGTACATTCAAGCGCAACTTGTCTCGGACTTCACCAGCTTCTCCGCTTTCTTCGGCAGGAGCACCGTGACCGGCGCCGCCTTGTCCAGAGGTTCTATCATGCTTCTTCTCCGCCGCTGCAATCCACGACTCAGACCTCGTATTTCTTGGCAGCCATTGACACCAGGGAGAACTCGCTGTTCGTTTGGTCAGACAAACTTGGCCGTCCGGCAATGGGCCATCATTGCGGGTATCCCCGAGCCCGGATCGGCTTCATCGCTTGACCAGCCAACGGCTGGCTGGTCGTGCTACGATATGGTGACTCAGGATCAATCCGCCTCTACCTGAGCCGGCTATGCCGATTCGCTCTTGACCGGGTTGGTCTTTTGGGATGTAGATCGTCTGGACGACATTTATCCTGTCGGAGAGGCTGCCGCTTGAATGTTCGGTTTTCCTCACAGACACTACAAAATCTTCTTCCGACGTCAATGGCGCACAAAGCCTGAGGTGGTGGCTCGCACTACCACGCAAGCCGCTACCCTGGGTCGATGAGTAAACTGTCGAAGCACTCCGAGCTGAGTTTGGGTGCATGTGCAAGCCATCTCTGGAGCATGGCGACGGACAGAGGCTTCCCTTTACCACTGATCGTGTCTGCAGCCTGCAGTCACACCTTGACCGCTGTCACGTATAGAGTATGTCCTCCGGGCAAGATCACTCCAGACCTGCGCAGCTGCTGACTCGTATCGCTATCGTCAGTCTCACTTCCTGGCTCAGTGCACATTCCGGCTTCGGCAGACATTGGCATGCTTTGCTCCTTGAGACTGACTCGACATTGGTGCGGCATGTTGGCAGAAACGACGGATACTATAGAAGGAGGAGTAAAGACTTAGACGACTCACTTGCATGCTACCAGTGTTGCCGGGATCTAACACAGTACTCGTACCTAGCAAGCGATCAAGACAATCGATACGGATCAGTAATGGGAACTTCAATGTGTGATCCCCTTTTAGCATGAGATGTCTGGAATTAATGATCTTTAAGTTACTGACATACATACCTAACGCCTTAGGCTTCTCGTCTAGCTTCACCCGGAATCTTAACAGTTTCAACATGGTGCTGCTTGACACGGAATCAGTGTATACGTCACGGTAACCATGATGTTGGAGGGAAGCGAAAACCGAGGGAGCAGCTGAGCCTAAGTTACAGGTAGGTATAGATACAGTCATCCTCGCAAGACCAACATACCAGCTAAACCACCACAGGCCACGTTGCCCTGACGCTGGAATCAGGCCCCAAATAAAGGTGGAGGCGGGACACACAAAACAAATGCATTACGGGGTACCGCGCCGGTGTGGGTCATGGCACCGATGTACTGGCAGCCGCCATTGGTCTGTTTGAACACGACGCGGTCTGGGCCAGGGGCACCTGAGTCGGATTAGCTAAGTTCTTACACAAACACATATGTCCTATATAACCGTCCGGGGTGTAGAATAACTCACCACCTGTGTAAAGCTGACCGCTTCTGAGGACGGGAAACTCCCTGTATGGGCCTTCAACTGGTTGATCATCCTCCAGAAAGTCGAGATTCTCATGATTCGCAAAGTTGTGAGGGTATTTATTAGCTCCCAGTTGGAGGCCCCTCGCGTCGAGGCAACAGCCAAATGAAAAGGCTCGGTCGAGATTCCTCTGGCTGTGAATTGTGTCTCCGCATTGGATGCCATCGGCAGGTTGCCTCTGCTCTAGGACGAAATTGGCAGGGGCTGCCGCAACACCGAGAGCGAAGAAGAGCGTGAAGAGGTAGTATAACATGGCTGGAGAACAGGGAAAAGCGGGTCGACAAAGCCGAGTGAATTAGCTGAGGTGAGGAATACACGTAGAAATTGGAATGAGGAAGCTGAGATGACGGCGCTGCTATGAGCTTATATCTATAACCTTACCGAGTTCGGTATGAAATCCTGGAGGTTTGCCGGTACTCATGCCCCGTCGAACGATTGGCTGACTTCCATAGAGCTGGGGTATGTAGTAGCTGTGTAAACATCACGGAACTATTGCCTCATTAATGACGATAGCGCCTTGGGTATGACGTGCTCCTGACGATGTATTCGGTCTCACGAAGGGGTTCCTGTCTTGATGGGCAAAGTACAGGCGTTATTCAAGTTGACCTACCACTGTGGATACTTTTAATAGAACGCCCAATCCTTGGAGGAAATGGCCACACGTAGGACCTTCGCATCAGCGCCCGTCCCCGAGTCCTCTCTAGTCGGGAGCACGGGATTGGCATTCAGCACAAAGTTGAGATGTCTCCAGAAGCAACATGGACGCGTCTAGAGCACGCTAAACTACCTTACTTACATTACGATGAGAGGGATTATTGGAGAGTGGTTTTATGAGAATGTTTGGTTTGAAACGGAGCATTAAGAACCTCTGTTCTACAGACCTGTTGCCAGGGTAGGATATTTACAGGCAACCCCAACTTTGCATAACTCTTAAGCGGCTCAGCAAGGCCCAGGTATCTGGTACCTACAGTACAGATAGCGTATTTAGTGCCGGTGGGACCCGATAGGTACCGTACACAGTATGTACGACTCGGAGCTTTGGTTCGTAGTTGGATCGGCGTTCTCGGAACCCTAACGAGTACCTGGGGGGTAGGTGCCTTAGGTACATTGCCGAGCTATGCAGTCATCTTTGCTGGAATCGATGATAGGGTCTCACAAGCCACTCTATATATATAGAGGGCGCATCGCGCCCTCGAGACTCTCTACCCTCCCTCTCTCTCTCTCTCAATGCAAGCGTTACACGTATTACTGTTCACTTCAGCAATCATCACATGTCACGAGGTTGCATAGTTTTAGCGAACTGGTCACTTCTTGCTGCTCGATGTCATTGTGCCCAATGAACGTCTTCGAAAAAGCCCTCCAGGTTCGACACCCGGCCAGTCAACCATCCTCCAAAGTTGCTTGGGTCGTTTATGCTCACCTCCCCAACTCTAAGTCCGACTACTCCTTGTTAGAAGGGTCAAGAATGAGCACGATAACTTATGTGCTCGAGGGCCTGACCGAGCCCAACGCGACCGAGAATGCCGTCGCCGAAGCCGTGCACACATTCAACGAGCGAGCCAAGTCTGCCCCCTTCTCGATTGGGGACTTCCTCTGGGAAGCCTTCAACGCAGTCTTTGACGTGGCTGGATGCACCCCAGGCGAGAGGCAGGGCAGGCTGCTCGAGTTCCTGGGCCAGCTGCAGCAAACAACCGCGGCAGATGCAGAGGGGCGGCCGCTGAGGTACGAGGGCGGCTTCGTATGGGAGGACATGCCGTCTTTTGGCTGGGTTGCAAGGGATCGGTGGAATTTCGGTTCGTAACAGCCCTTAAATACTTGACTTATTCACTACGCACCACGTAGCCGTCCCGACATTCACCACTAGTGGTAGCTAACAAAGGCGATCAAGACATCTGTGACCCTTCAGCCATACCGCAGGACCGTTCAAAGTGGGAGAATTGGGCCGCTTTGCTCGCGAAGCTGACTTCATTAGCAAGGTCAGATAACCCACAGCATCCGTTTGACTTCTCGCTCTTTGGACTTTGGACCATGAGGACCGCTTTTGAGGGAGCACCTCTCGAGACAGCGGCCCTTGCGTCGGCGGTCAAGCACGCCGATATTTGGGTCCGTTATTCCGGGGAACGGCTCCGGAGACTGTGCCGAGATGGTCGCACCTTTCAGGGGAACAGCGGCGTTGCCGGGAGCAAGTACGCCGACCGGGGATGGAGAGGCTTCAGCAAGGAGAGATGGACGGCATGGAGGGATGAGTTGAGGGCAGCCCGAGATAGGCACGGAGATGATGCTGTTATCCAAGACGCATGTGGCTGAATGGAGAGGCTGTAAAGACAGGACGTCAACCTGCTGTTAAAGATCCTTATATTCAGAAGGCAAGATTGAGAGCCCTTTGGGCCACAGCGCATCACACCAGACGTGTGAAGTGCTCTAAACTGCTTCTCTTGAGTGATCAGGACTCTCGAGCCATGCGATAAAGTGGCAGGCGAGTTGGCCATTCTTTCCAGTTTTATAAAGAGACGAAGGCGACAAAATTCGCCTGCCATTCCTCATTGACCATACAATGACGGTGGTGCCATGGTCGGGAGCAAGTAGATGCACATGTGGATCAGGACGGTAAAGAACTCCCGCGTTGCATCAGTTTTCACCCCCTACCAACGCTTCTACGTGCAAGTCAGCCCCTAGCAAATTCACGTCCCGCTCGCCCCTTTCCAATCTCCTCAAGACACTCCCTCCACCTGCCCACTCTCCCATCTTCCTTGACGGCGAACGGATCCCGTTTCACCTTCTCCACACCCACCAACACCTCGTCCCTGAGCTCCACCGTCCCCGTGGCCAGCACCGGTTTCTTCCTCACCTCCTCGACCACCCCCTTCGCGCCCAATTCTGGCTCTCTCAAATCCTCCCAAACGCGAAACCTCAAACTTCTTCCCAGACTGGAAAAAGAAGCAGCCCCCTTTCTGCCTCTTTGGGTCCTCAACCCACGAAGAAAACGGCTGTATGCTCGCCTCGTGCACATCCCTCAAGCTCAGCACTGCCCCCTTTTTGATCGCAGAACCACTGCATCGTCGCCATTGTTGCCGTCGTCCAGGGTGAGGGTAACGCTGTCCGCCGACAGCACGATGTCGGGGCTGCGGACCAGCACGTGGTCGATGTGCGCTTCCTGCGGGCTGCCGTACAGGTAGAAGGGCATGCAGCAAGACGGGTAAGTGGCGTCGAGGGGTCTGTTCTTGAGGACGGGGGTTATCGTGATGGTGGTGGGCCGGCTCACGACGCCGCTGGAGGTATTAACAAGAGCGACACCATAAGCCCAGAGCCTGGATCATAACATGAACGTGTAACTTGGTACTGTAGGAATGGCGGAAAGGGGGCACTTGGGGGGTAACTGACTTGGTTCTGGTCGATAGGTTGCCCTCGAAGACGGCTTTGTCCTTCTCGGCCGGGTTGCCCACTTGTCCAAGAGTTCGGCTAGGCAGATCTGTCGGATGTCTTGACCGTTAGTTTCTCTTCAGTGTTGCCTTTGAGCTGTTGGTAGACTTCGGCACCGGCCGCGTCAAAGTTTGACGGCGAGGAAGATCTGCCGGCGGTGTTTGGCGATGTGGAACATGGGGCGGTACGACAGGAAGATCTGGTCCCTGCCGCGCGCCCAGAAGCTGTGTAAGTTGGGCGTGATGGAGTTGCGAGCTTGGCAGACCTATTCAGGGGTTAGATTGTCCATTCCCAGAGGGAAAAATGGGGAAAGAGTGTGTCACCCTGACTTCCTTCTTGACAATAGTCCTAGACTCTTCCTCTTTCATCTTGAAGTTGCCATTGGTCGAAATGGTAACCAGCGGCCTCATGACGACGTTGCGAAGCACCATCAGCGGCTCCTCCGATTCCTCCAGACCAAGCCGCTCCTTAAACTTGGCGACACACTTGCCGTGCAGGACGTGGAAAAAGGGTGTCGACGTCAGATACAGCGGGATATGGGTAGGCTCGACGTTGTGCGACTCCACCGAGAGCTTCTGCACGACGCGCGTCATGAGATAATTGGCTTCGTTGCGTCTTCATTGAGCCTGCCGTCCTCGTGCTTCCAGTTCAGCTCAAAGGCGTTGATGTTGAGGTTCGAGCCGAAGTCGCGGAGCAAAGTCATGGCTTGGTTCGTTGGTCCAGGTCTTTGTCGTGCTTGACGATGTCTTCGTTGGATTTGCTGATAATCTCCTCTAGGATCCGGTGCCTCTAGTTTTCCGCCCACTGCGAATTGCGCTTTCTTTTTCAGAAGGGCAGTGCGTTGAAGGGGACGAAAGTGAATTGGTCTGTGGGTTTGGCGATGGCTGCCCAGAGGGCAGACAACTAGTCGAGTCAGTCTCGGCCGGTAATCAGGAATGTGCGCACTTACACGAGACGAGCTAAAGCAGGCCTCGCTCAGTAGAGCTCCGTACCCCTCTTAGTCCAGCCAGATACACTGGCTCAAGAGCCAGTTGCTAGGGCAGATGCTCCGGGCTTGCTGTTAGGGGTCAGCCATGAACTCATCGTAAGTTCATGGGCAAATTTTTCATGGCGTATTTAATCAACTCACCTCCCCTCAACTCCAAAGATGCCGATGCTCGTCACGGACCCGCGAGAGAGGACAAGGCCTGTCCAAGTCGCGAAGTCCTTGATCCTCCCATCGCGATGTGTCAAGGCACCCATGGGTAGGGAGTGCCAGCCTTGTGGGGATCTACGGTTATCGAGTCGGAGAACCGCAACGAATACGGGTCCTTCTGCGTATCTACCTGCAGAGGCAGGTTCGGCACGATTCCCTCGTCCCACCCGTCCCGACCTGCGAGGCTGCCGACATGGGCCGACGTGAGCAGTAGGTCGTCTCCTCGGGGAAGCGTCGTCGCAAAGTAGTCGCCCCATGCGGCGTCGGCGTGAACAGGAAACGAAAAGCCCTTGGCCTGGAACTGCTGGCGGAGGGCGAGAATCTTGTGCAGCGGGTCGACAGCCCCTTCTTCCGTCGAGTCCATGACGGCGACGATGAAGTATACGGGCCGTTCCTCAGCTAAGTTCTTGGCCAGCGGCTCCTTGAGCCTGTCGACGTCAATGCGGGCGTTCTCATCGACGTCGACGCTGACCGAGTTGCCCGAGCCGATGCCCAAGATTTCTGATATCACAGTCAGCCAAGAACTAGCCCTGAGAAGCAATTGAAACTCTTCAGGGGCTACTGGTCCTCACCAGTCGTCTTTGGGCCACGAATAGTGCCTGGTGCTCGCCACAACGTACTGCGCCGGCTTGTCCATATTGAAGTGCCTCTCAAGAACTTCCTTTCCAACCATCTGGATGTTGTACCGGTCAAGCGCGTTTTGTAGCCAGTCAGGGCTAATGTCCAAACTCGTCGTGCAGCTGCTCAGGAATGTCGACAATCGTCTTGGGCTTGAGACTGAGCAGCTCCCACGAGCTCAGCTCGCGGAACTTCTTCACTCGGTCCTGGCAGGTGCGGACGCTGAACGATTCGGTGATGATCTTTAACAGGCCGTCGCTATCGTCCATCGCCTTGGGCCTCGACAGGGGTAGATCTTGATTTTGCGGGCTACAGGAGTCACTAACATAAAAGCTGACGGCACTAGAAGATGCGCTTACCAACCTGAAGCGATTCGAGGTTGGCTACGGTGCCGTCGCAGGTGACATGTCCCCAGCCGGTCAGACACTTGGTGTTGTTTGGATCGAGATTGTATCCAAACATGTCGCACAACTGCTCCCCTACCTCGATCCCGGCCACGGTGCTCAGAAACTCGCCTCGACAGCGACGTTGTTAGGGTTGTACATCATGGCCATGAGGTAGCCCAGCATGGCGGGCATGGACAGGTTGGTGCACATGTGAGCCTGGTACCGCGGCCACCAGAGCGGGATCGATTGCTCGCCCAGCATCTTGGCTGTATCCCGCACAGCTTTGGCAAACATGGCTCTGGCGCCCTGGAAGGCCTTTAAGTCCCGGACCTTTTGCGGGATACACTAATAGCCTTGTTCCTAGAACAATGGTCACTGCTGGATATATCGTATGGCTCAGGAAGAAACCCATAGCGTCCTCTTTGAAGTATTCTCCCTTGTCTCCTGTAACTGATTGAGGATTGCATGCTGTTCTTGCGGAACTCGTCCAAAATTTCAGCTAGTGGTCCGATAAAGTACGAGCCGATTGCCTTGCGCGAGGCCTGTTCACGGGCTACAGACGCCATTTTTCATATTGTAAGCCACTAATCTTGAAAGCAACGTCGAGGTAGGGGTACAAATACAAAGAAAGGGCTCGGACAAATGAAGAAGAAGGGGGTTACATTCTCACGGCAACAAGGAGTATGACTATTTTAGTCAATCTGAACCGCCGATGACTTCTTCATCATATCACTGTCTGTTCATGATGCAACTGGATCGAGGGAAGTGGAAGGCTGAGGTCATTAGATGGTTGAGTAGTACCTTATTAATGCATAATAACATATCGGCCTGCCGGGAACCTCAAGATCCAGGCAGTTATATGCTCAGAGGCATCTGGCAGGCCGATAAGCCGGACTTGGACGTTAATAGGTACTGTAGTTTTTCACGCCAATACCCACAATGCCGCACAATGCCGCGCCCGTGCAGGTATAGTAGGTTCCATCGGTTGGGTACTGAGCTGCAGTCAGGCGAAAACGGCAACAGGCAGGATGCAGGAGGCAGGAAACAGGAAAGACTAGCAGTCTTGCGAGAAATTTGTTTCACCCTTCTACCTCTCTTGGCTTGGACAGCTGGCAGACGGAAGGCACCAGCACCTAGCGTCCGAGGACATACCCGCCCCCCGCTCCTGCCGGCATATTGTATGTCGTCTCTAGTCTCACCAGGTCAACTCGTTGGAAGCCTAGCGGCACGGCCACCCTCCAACTGCATGATAGTCTGCATCGGCGCATCCCGCCAGCCAGTAGGACAACATCAAGCCGTGTGCGGGCCATGCACATGCGGCTGTGGCAGCCTGATGCCGAAAAATGGGTAAGGGCTCATTCGCCGACTGCGCAGTGATAGGCCTTGTTGATATGGCGTGCAGCTGCAAATGGTGTGCTCTCAACGCGGGAACTTCTTGCGTCGGATAACAGACCGAGTCGTCAACTGCATCGAGAAACCTCTTAAGACGGAGCACCCGGATCCTGAGGCGAGCTGGTAAATTCGATTTTCTATAGTTAATTTAAAACTTATCGCCTTCGTCACCTCTCCACATGTCTCCCAAGGTCCGCCATGGAGGTGACAGCGGACATTACCCGGAGCCTGGAAGTGCGCACTCGAGTCGTAACCCAGATTCTTACGCGGCCTTCCACCACCATCACAACCATCGTCACACTTGGAGGTAGCCCGACCTCAACTCCCACTTCTATCCCTTTCCCCACGACGCCACCCCCTGACCCAACACCAACGACTCCCATTGCCCAAGCATCTCCCTCAGGAAGCGCTCTCAACCCACAACAACTCGGCGCGCTCTTAGGCTCTGTGTTTGGCCTTGCCTTCCTAGTCCTGCTCATCTGCTGCTGCCTGTCCTGCTGCCGACGACGGCGACGTCTCCAGGACACCATGTACTACGACGACGGCGATTTCAGCAATAGCGAGGTCGTCCTGCGCAGCACGCCCGCTTGGAACCTGCACCGACACCACCGGGGAACATGGGCGACTGTGCCGCCGCCTGTGCACTTCCCTCCTACCCCACGGTACACGCCTTACTCGCAGACCAGGGAGGCGCAGATGCCCGGGGTTGCGAGATACCCCTGAGTGTTTGCCTGGGTAAGCTGGGATTTATCAGATGTTAGCTTGGCTTGCGACAATGTTTTGGGACAGGAGGAGGAGTCTGCTGGGGTTGACCTCACCTTAGGTATGCGTGGAGCCTGAGTCGTGCCTGACTTAGTTTTAGGAGTGTGGAAGGATGTTTCATCTCTCGAGAATGGCCCAAGTAGATTCATCAGATTTAGCATAACTATGCCGGGATGTACTGGAACGCTTTGAAGTCGTTCGTCTGGCTGCTGCGAGTCATCATTCATTTATTCCTCGGTAAATGTATGCTAGCCGTCAATGTTGCCGTTGCGGGATCGCGTAGGGCAAAGTCTCCGCGATTCACTACTTTTTTTAAAAAAAATGAACCTGTTGAAAGTTGCCGTTGTCGAATGGTACTGGGATCCTGAGGGGGGCTAGGAGGTTCTACAATCCCTGATACAAGTACCTAGGTGTTGGAAAGTCGTGGCACTGGAACTTCGGACGCTCAGCTGCAAGTGCCCTGCTGTTGGATGCATGGCTGCCCAACTGAGCGTCAGGCAACGTGAGGGGTAACCAGGGCGCTGGGCAACGAGGTCAGGGCGATTCCCCCTTCGCTGGAGACATGAGAGAAGAACAACCTTCAATCAAGAACATCTGGGATGCTCCGAGTTTCTCAAACCCACTGTTGTAAGCTCCCATCATCTGTGTGATCACCGTGGAATTGTGGCTGTTGGCTTTCCAACACTAGGTCTAATCAACCATAACGCGCCACCGGGGGGTTCGAAAATGGCCACCGTGACGGTCTTCCTTTGCCAGGATGACCCTTCAGTATCAATACCCTATTGGTCAGTCAAAACAGTCATCGTGAGGGTCATTGAGTCAAGCCCATCGCAGTGCAATAAGACTCCTTCCGAGGAAGGAGCTGTTGTATCAAGAATGGTCACTACGACTATCTTGAAGTCGATTCTATAATGGGCATTATCTTTAGTTATAGGCATGGTAGTTACAACCTCGTACGGCCTACATAAGGCGAGACTAGCGTCGCCTAGCAATTGCGAATATGCAGCGGTAATCCAGGGTGTCAAATACCCTCCGCTTAGCTATCTCTCCCTTCATCATCTTAGTCGCGTAGTACCACCTCGCCAACTAGTACACCGAGTATAACTTCCCGGCCGACTGGCGCATCGTAACTACCGAGAATAGCTGGACTACCAATACAGTGAGTGGGCCTAGAGTGGATTGAGCACTCTGACTACCATATTGTCACGGCGATTGCGCCGTGCCTGCTAGGACCCACGGGTGGAACCCGGCATGTGGAAAGCACGGGCCCCTGTGGGTTAAATATTCTGCACCTCGCTGCCGCGAGATCTGTTCGTAGCTCCTCGAGCTACGTCTTGACAATCAAGCCTGCCCGTACCTGACGGAATAGAGCTTAGACTGTAGTTTAGCCCGAATACAATTGTTATTGGATTGTCCGCCTGTCCCGCCGTGACATTACGTAGCTCCTACCCACTAGCCGATTGTCTCCAACACGATGGCCACCCGCCCGCAACCTCCTGCGAACCCCGACACCGCGGCAGATCTGGCCGCGCACGTCGGCGAACATCCGGAGAGCTGGATACTATACCTAAGGAACATGGTCGGATACACAGCCTCTCTGGAGAAGGAAAACGCTACCCTCTGTGCTGTCGCCCGCGATCACGACGCTACCGTCTCGTCCCTCCAGACCAAAATCACGAAACGCGATGCGATCATTGGCTACCAGAAAGAGCAGCTGAACGAACAGAACCGAGAAATGGTCCAGAGAATCACAGAGCTCGAGGTTGAAAAAGCCCAACGCGTCGCCGCTGCTACCCCCACCGAACATACCCCGCCGACCGAACCTACGCCTATCGCGAAACCCTCCGCCGAGGCGCTCGCAGGCACCGCCCCGGGAACTCCTACGCCTGCTCCTTCCTCATATGCCGGATCTACCATCATCAGTGAACGACTCCCAGACCCAGACAAATTCGATGGCTCCCGCGCAGATCTCCGACGCTTTACGCAGCAGATCTACGGCAAGATGATCGCCAATGCCGACCGATTTCCGACTGCCCCTGCCCGTCTGACATACGTTGCTGGCCGACTGACCGGGAAGGCGTACCAGCTGATGCTACCTAAGATCGCCTATGGACTCCCCCAGTTTCCCGACTACCCCGATATGCTCGCCTACCTGGAAGCGGCCTTTGGCGACCCCGACCGCGTGCAGAATGCGCAGAACAAGCTGTACCAACTTAAGCAGAAAAACGACGACTTTAGCACCTACTTCTCTGAGTTCCAACGCCTTGCCCTTGAAGGAGAGATGTCTGAGGAGGGCCTGACGCCTCTGCTGTTCCAAGGCATCTCCCGGGAGCTACAGGACATGCTCCTACACAACCCATCCCCGTCTCGCCAGTTCCGAGCTTATGCCCAACACCTCCAGAGCCTCGATAACCGGTACCGTCAACACCAGAAGCAAATCAACCGTACCAGGCCCAACCACACCGCGCGAGCACAGGCGTCAGCCACCTCCCCCAGTACAACCCCTGAATCACCGAGAAGTGGATCCCCGCACCCTCCCAGAAGCCAGAACCAGGGCGACCCCATGGACCTGAGCGCGCAGCGCACGCCCCGACCGAATGGGCGGAGAGAACGAGGAGAGTGCTACCGGTGCGGGTCGAAGGACCACCGGGTCGCTCTTTGCCCAGAACCTGACACGCGTCCCCACATACAAGCCCGTACCGCCAGAGCCGAACGATCGTTCAGCCCCGACACCGACCGATCCCTGAGCCCACCATCTACCCCTTCAGCGTCGGTAAATGGGGCGAGTCTGGGTTAAGTCGCCTCCAGACTCCGATTCCCTGCGCGAATGAAGTGCCGACACCTAACGACGATGGGTGTTTGGACTCTACGCCAGCCCAACCGACTGGAAACACTCGAAGGAATAAAGCTATCCGGACACTACGAATCTCTGCCGCATCCGTACGAGGTCTCTCTATCCGCGAGGAGGAGGACCTACGATCGAACCTGATGATCCTGCCTGTTACCCTAGAGAGTGGGAAGCAACGGCTACCCACTTACGCCCTGACCGACACCGGAGCCCAAGGAAAGGGCTTTATTGACCAGAGCTGGGCTGAGGCCCATGAGCTGCCCCTTAAAAAGCTGCGAAGACCGTTCGCGCTGGAGGTCTTCGACGGCCGTTCGGCCGAAAGTGGGAACGTCACCCACTATACAGCCATTGGCATGAGGGTTGCCGATCACTATGAGAAAGAGATCAGACTCTACGTGACGCAACTGGCCTACTACCCCGTCGTCTTAGGTATGCCGTGGCTGAAGGAGCACGACCCGAGGGTCGGCTTTGCGAGCCATACATTTACCTTCGAGAGCGACTATTGCCGAGCGAACTGTAACACCCCAAGTCGACCGACCAGGATCAAAGCCTTACATGACGTACCAGAGAGAGCGCGCCCAAGCTATCTACCTCCACGCCCCGCCGGGCTGGAGAACGTCAACATCGCGGTCGTATCCCTCCGAGCTTGCTCAGCGTACATCCGTAAGGGTTATAAAGTGTTCTCTGTCACGATCGAAGACATCGATCGCCAGCTGTCCCTACCTGAACAACCAGACCTGACGAAACTGCTCCCGCCCGAGCTCCTGGACTTCCAGGACGTTTTCTCCCCCAAGGAAGCCGACAAGCTGCCGCCGCACCGACCGTACGACCACGAAATCAAGCTGATCGAGGGTAAGACCCCGCCCTTCGGACCGCTGTACGCTATGTCCCGCACCGAACTGCAAGCCCTAAAGGCTTGGCTGGAAGAGAACCTGAGGAAGGGATTCATCCGCCCGAGCGCCTCTGCTGCTGCATCGCCCGTCCTGTTTGTCAAGAAGCCAGATGGAGGCCTCCGCTTCTGCGTCGACTACCGGGGCCTGAACAACATCTCGGTCAACGACCGCTACCCGCTACCCCTGACGAAAGAATCCCTGAACAACCTGAAGGGAATGAAGTACTTCACCAAGATCGACATCATCTCTGCGTTCAACAATATCCGGATCAAGGAGGGCCAGGAGTACCTCACCGCATTCCGAACGAGGTTCGGCCTCTATGAATCATTGGTTATGCCATTCGGGATGACCGGAGCCCCTGCTACGTTCCAACGGTTTATCAACGATACACTGCGAGAGCATCTAGACGTCTTCTGCACCGCGTACCTCGACGATATCCTGATCTACAGTCGCACTAGAGAGGAGCACCTGAGTCATGTCCGCAAGGTCCTAACGGCCCTAAGAAGAGCTGGCCTGTATGCCAAGATCCAGAAGTGCGAGTTCTTCAAGGAAGAGACGACCTTCCTAGGAGTCATTGTCGGTCGCCACGGCATCCGGATGGACCCCAAGAAGGTACAGACAATCAGAGACTGGGAGACACCAACCTGCCTGACCGATGTCCAGGCGTTCATTGGATTTGGGAACTTCTACCGGCGTTTTATACGCGATTTCTCTAAGATCATTGCGCCGATGGTTAACCTGACTCGGAAGGACGTGAAGTTCCAGTGGGACTCACGCTGCGAGGAATCCTTCAATCGCCTGAAGGAGGCCTTCACCTCTGCACCTATCCTGGCCCCGTTCGACTGGGAGAAAGAAATTGTTCTGGAAACTGATGCATCCGATTATGTCTCCGCTGGCGTTTTATCGCAGTATGGAGACGATGTTGCGTTCTTCTCCAAGAAACACTCGACAACAGAGTGTAACTACGAAATCTACGACAAAGAACTCCTGGCAATCATCCGCTGCTTCGAGGAGTGGAGACCTGAACTCGAAGGCACAAGCTCCCCGATCAAAGTTATCACCGACCACCGCAACCTGGAATACTTCACAACTACCAAGCTCCTGAACCGCCGCCAGGCCCGATGGTCCGAGTTCTTATCTCGGTTCAACTTTACGATCACCTACCGGCCTGGGAAACTTGGGGCAAAGCCGGACGCTCTGACCAGGAGGTCAGAAGACCTGCCTAAAGAAGGGGATGAACGTCTGTTGCACCAAAGCCAGATAGTCCTGAAGCGCTCGAATCTGGACCCCCGAATCAGCCAGTTACCCCCACCGGTCCAGGAACTGCCCGCCAACCAGCCAGTTACCCCCACCAGTCCAGGAACTACCGCCAAGAAGCGAGTTCGATTCGTAGAAGAACCCGTACAGCTCAACGCCCTCACCCGATCTCAAGCCCCGCCGAGAACGGAAACCCCAGCTGGAGAGACGATCACCTCGACGGAACCACTTCGCCCTGCTTTACCACTCGAGAGGAATACACCGCTGCTGCCACCGGATATCAAGGAACTGTTCGCCAAGGGCTACGAAGCAGACGAAACGCCGAAGTCTGTCCTGGAAGCACTGAGGAAGTCACACAGCCGCCACCCAGGCATTACACTCGCAGAGTGCGAGGACCGTGGAGGATACCTGTACTACCGAGACCGCCTGTATGTCCCGAACTACCCCGAGCTGCACGCCGAACTGGTCCGTTCCTACCACGAGAGCGCTATCGCTGGACACATGAAGCGAGCGCGCACGTACGAGGTCCTGTCGCGCGATTACTACTGGCCTGGGATGCTCACCTATGTCGAACGCTGGGTAGCTAACTGCCATACCTGTACCCGGATCACTGCTTCCCGCGAAGCCCGCCAAGGAGTCTTGAGACCGCTGCCGATCCCCGAGAGAGCCTGGAAGGACGTGTCGATGGACTTCATCACACACCTGCCGAAGAGCGAGGGCTACGACGCAATACTGGTCGTGGTCTGTCGCTTAACCAAGATGAAGCACTTCATATCCTGCAACGACACTTGCGACGCCGAAGAAGTCTCCCACCAATACCTGAAGCACGTCTGGAAGCTACATGGATTCCCGACGACGGTGGTATCCGACAGGGGACCGCAGTTCGTATCCGACTTCTGGAAACACCTGACCCGCCGGCTAGTCTCGAAGGCACTACTGTCAACTGCATTCCATCCTGAGACTGATGGCCAGACTGAGAGAGCGAACGGCTTCCTGGAACAGTACCTACGAGGATACGTCTCTTACTTGCAAGATGACTGGGTCCTATGGCTACCGCTCGCGGAATTCGCCCTGAACAATGCCCTGAATGAGAGCATCAAGACAACACCGTTCTTTGCTAACTATGGGTTTCACCCTCGTATGGGGTTTGAGCCTATAGTGCCGGACAAGACCCCCGGAGCCAGGGATGCCGAACAATTCGCATCTAGGATGAAGGAGATCCACGAGTTTCTAAGATCCGAGATTTGCATAGCCCAAGCCCGCCAGGAGGAGTACGCAAACCGGAAACGCAAGCCGGCCCACAAGTACTACGTCGACCAGGAGGTCTGGCTCGACGCCCGCAACATCAAGACACTCCGCCCGCAGAAGAAACTCGACTGGAAAAACCTAGGACCCTTCAAGATTACGAAGGTTGTTAGCCCTTACGCTTACCGCCTGGACCTGCCCGCCTCGATGAAGAACCACCCGGTATTCCACGTCAGCCTGCTCCGCCCTACTGCCAACAACCCCCAGCCTGGCCAACGACAAGACCCCCCTCCGCCGGTGGAGGTCGACGGTATAGAAGAGTTCGAAGTTGAGGAAGTCCTGGACTCCCGCCTGGACCGCCGCGGCCGGGGAGGTCGCCCTCGCCTGAAATACACCGTCAAGTGGACTGGATACGACCAGCCTACCGAGGTGACTGCAGACTACCTGACGAACGCAAAAGAGGTGGTCCGTAACTTCCACCGCCGGTATCCCGAGAAGCCTGGCCCCTAGCTTGGCAGCGTGCGTCGACGGAGCTCCGCACCTAGAGGGGGGATACTGTCACGGCGATTGCGCCGTGCATGCTAGGACCCACGGGTGGAACCCGGCATGTGGAAAGCACGGGCCCCTGTGGGTTAAATATTCTGCACCTCGCTGCCGCGAGATCTGTTCGTAGCTCCTCGAGCTACGTCTTGACAATCAAGCCTGCCCGTACCTGACGGAATAGAGCTTAGACTGTAGTTTAGCCCGAATACAATTGTCATTGGATTGTCCGCCTGTCCCGCCGTGACACATATATTATTATTCCTACTCCGCTATGCCCTAGGGCGTGCCGGACCTTCAGCTATTACTATACAGGAAAACCGTACCCTCGTAGGTCGGATAAAAAACCCGTATCGGCGATCAAGAAAACGGTCAGTGAGTGAGCCTGCAAGTACAAAAGGAAAAGGCCTCCTGGCCTTCGAAAAAGGGGGGGGGGGGCGATATCAGACCGTGAGCTCCAGCTCCAGCCTTCGAGCCAGATTGTACATCGGCAGCCTCCCCGAATCCATCAGCCATCCAAGGATCCTCTCCGTCAGCCGTGCAGCTGTAGGACTCATTCCCTGCAGAATAGAGTAAAAGTCCCCACACGTTCGAACCTGGGCCCTCTCCCATCTTCGAGCCAATGGTGGCGCCAGACACCACATCACCAGGTGTTCGACGGTCTCTCGCCCTTCTCCGCATTCGCAGCTAGGTGTCAAGACCTCCGGGACGCCCCTTTTGAAGAGGAAGTCCCGCAGGCCTATAGCCCCAGTTCGGATTTGGACCAGCAGTGAACTTTTCGCCTTGCTCAGGCCCACGTGCCTCCTTAGAGTCCTGTCTTTGAACAGGGTCTCCTGCTGATGGTCAAAGTCGTCGGCTGGTCTCGTGGCTGCCCGGCCGTCTCGTTCCTTCAGCCACCTCTCCTTCCAGGCCTCCTGCATAACCCTGTCTGTGTCGGCCGTTCTCCCTGTTCTGACTACCATATAGCGCCCCGGACAAAGGGCAAATACCGGTTATTCATCCTCGACGTCTGTGACGGCGCCTGACGTCGGAGTGCATATGGCGGCACCTGCTTTGTTATGTGACCTCTGCATCGCGAGAGCTCTTCTAGCTTCTCATCCTTTTCTCCCCATCGTGTGATTAGCAGAATTGAGTCCCATCGGCAGTGCCCGCGCACCTCGCCTAAATGTACGCTCGTCTCTCACAACGGCCATGAAAGCCACCACTCGATCAAATTCAGGCGTTACTACCAAGAGTACAACGAACATTACGCTCTATATACCTCCGCATTCCTCTCACTGTGATGGGCTGAGCCCATGATGGCCTCGGCAACGCTCGGCCGTGGTATCATGATAACGTCATCCTGAGGCAGGCAGTGTCTGTGTGTTCCGGAGCATATAAGAGCTGCCCTCTCTTCCTGTCATCTAGTTCTCTCTTTTCTTTTCGCTCTCCATTCGGAGCAATCTAGTCAATCATTGCCCCGCCTTGTGCATCATCTCAACGCCAACGCGTGGCCCGTAACAATATCTTCCAGGTGAGCAAACTCGAGTTCCTCTGGGCCTTTCGCGAGGCCTTCTTTGCTTCCATGACGGAGTAAAACACATAGGGTGGCTTTACAGGGGCTTACTTTGTACCGTACGATCCAGAGAGGGCGCATTCCTGGCTGGATATAAAGCTTCTGTTGAACTGAGTGGGTTCCTTGGCACCAAAATTCACGGACTGAGCACTGATGTTCAATGCGAGACTCTCAGTCAACACAGATCCATCACAATGACGCAGTTCCTGACATAAACGTCATATCATAG